TCGCATGCAATTTACTCCCTTTTCCAGTAGGAAAGGGTCTACATGTAAATAAGAAACAGGCCAACTATTGAGATTCCTTTTTGGTGGGAAATGAGTCAGAGTTCTCATTTCTGTAYAATAGGAGGGGATGCTAAAGCTCAGGGCAATTTCTTTCCAGKATCTCCTGGTTTGGAGCAGAGCTGGGGTCAGTGCCATGAGGTCTGACACTGCCAGGCCAGTGTTTCCCAGAAGTGAAGACACCACCAGACCTTGTATTGATTCAGATTTTAAGGAACTGGTCCAACTCAAGGACAATTTCCAAGTTAGTTGAAGTTGCTTGGAGCCTTGCCCACTTGCAAAGACAACTTGTGGCTTTGGATGATGCTTAAACAAAGCCCTTCAATGAGGAAACTATGGGTGGTAGCAAACTCTTGCAATCCTAAAGGCAGCCAAGGGTCCTCCTGTTGTGCCCTGTTCAGCTGTTGACTCTCCAGCTGCCCCAATGCCCCSGAGGGCTGTTTGCCATGGGGAGAGGAGCAGCTGGCTGCACTCTATGAAATGTCTGAGTTTTCCCAAGATAMCCATTGTCTGTCTGCAACACCAGCCTCCACCCTACTTGCTCACTCAACTGTGGCTAATGTGTCTTTAATTAAAGACAAGGAACAATTTGAGATTTSATTTTCTGTCCTCAACCGAATTGCCTATTTTCATCACAGTTTGTGAGGCCCCTCCACCTTACTTTTGTCTTATAGTGTTGCTGTGGRACCTTTAGTTTGTGTCGTGTCTCCTCTAACATAAGGAAGAAACAGGAGAAAAACAGCTTGTTTGGGGCCAGGGAATTAAGATCCTGGGTCAGATGGCTGCTACGGTCATTAACATATTTACATTTTTGCTTAAGAGCCTGTTTGAGGATCAAGGGAGTTAAGGGTGATTGTCATTGAAATGCGGAGGAAACCTTGCATGAAATTGCCGTTAGTGTCCTATTGTCTGGGGGGATGAGGGGGGGCAAACGGCTTCCTCATCCCTGRGCACTTGTCTGCCCAAGAGCGGGGACAGGCAGAAGGAACCGCGCTGAGGGGTTGAGRGAAGGCTCCGTGGTGCTGTGCTGTGGGAGCTTTGCTCCCGATGGGGCTGAACCCGGGCTCAGCACAGCCCTGCTGCTGCCTCCAGGCACTCTCTGTCCTCGSTGAGACCCTGGTGCTCGGCTGGGCTTGTGGGACAATTGGCCCCGAAGGACATCGGCATGGATAAATGCATGAAGCGGCTAGTAAAGGTCAGTTGCCTCTTTTATAATTGAGTGTTTTGAGTCTGCTGTCACATGTTTTTGCTCTGCTGCGGCCTCACCTTGAGTGCTGTGTGCAGTTTTGAGCATCACGTTATAAAAAAGACATGAAGCTATTAGAGGGTGTTCRAAGGAGGCCACGAGGATGRTGCAGGGTCTGGAGGGGAAGTTGTGTGAGAAGTGACTGATGTCGCTTGGTTTGTTCAGCCTGGAGGAGACTGAGGGGAGACCTGGCCRTGGTCTTTAACATCCTCCTGAGGGGCAGTGAAGGGGCAGCACTGATCTCTTCGCTCTTTTGACCAGGAACAGGATCTGAGGAAACAGCTGGAGCTGAGTCAGGGAGAGGTTTTGGTTGGATGTCAAAGGGTGGTTGTGCACTGGAACAGGCTTCCCAGGGAAGTGATCATAGCACACGCCTGTCTGAGTTCAAGAAGTGTTTGAGCAATGCTCTTGGGCACATGATGGGATTCTTGGGGTGTCCTGCATAGGGCCAGGAGTTGGACTCAGTGATCCTAATGGGTCCATTCTAACTCAGCACATGCTGTGATTCTACGATTTACCAAGTGTAGGGACACAGGATAGGCAGGACCTGCTCAATCCCTTGATTTTTGTGGATAGCTATGATATCAGAAACGGGGTTTGAATTATTGGTGTGGATTTTGAGTGGTGACAAATGAGATTTTTATATGCTTTTTATATAGAAGAATTGTTACACCATTAAAAATCGTTTAAATATTAGTAAGAGGACTTTCTTACAGCTGAAGCTGACAGTAAAACGTTTTCTGCTCCAGGTTGTAGAAGCCGTGCTCTGACCCTGCCCTGGGGTATTTTAGTTCTGATGGCAGTTGTTCGTTGCTTACCTCTTACTCCCATGTTGTTCAAATCCATTGTTTTTCTTCAAACCTATTTCTAATTAGTATCACTAACATAGTGCCAAAAATAATTATATATAATAATGTGGAGGAGAAGCCCAATCACGCTACAGAGAACACCAGCTACCTTCTGCCACAGATTTAATTTTTGTAGAGCAAGCAGCAAGACAATGAGCTGAAGGAGGAATGCTGGTGCCTGTGGCGTGAGAAGGAAGCATCCTTGGAGCAGATTGATTTGTAGCCACCAGACAGTTACAGCTTCAGCTGTGCCTTTGGAAAGCCAGCAGCCAGGAACAGCAGCATCCTGGGTGACAGGATGTGTCAGCTCTAGCACCAGTGAGCCTGAAGTCATTAGTGTGTCCTTGTGGGCTGGTTTGAAGCTCGGAAGCTGTTGTGTAATTTCTGTTCTTGGTTACAAAATGTTTCTTTATGGAATGCTTTAAAGCAGAAAGTCTGGAAAAGTGGTTTGTGATCTCAGCAGCTCTTTTGTGCTCTGGGGGACTGTGTGCTTCAGCTCTGTATCCTGTCTGCCCTTTGAAGTAATAGCTGTGTTCCCTGGGGCTGTGGCCATCGGTCTGTCCTACAAAGTCTAACAAAGAGCACACGGCATGGGGAGAGTCCCACACTTTGGGTGCTGACCCTGGYCCTCAAAGTAGAGAGGTACTCTAGCCTTCAAGGAGCAAATAGTTTTGTCCTAGACAAACTATGTTCTGACATCAATAAATATMAAGATACAGTAAAAATGGTGCAGTTAGGTAAGATGTTGGTGAGGTCAAATGTTTTTGGGAAACAAGGATGCACAGAGCAGTATTTATGGGATTGCAGGTCTCAGATCCATTCACTGAATGACTCATCTCCCAGCTCCTGCAGATTCCCCTTGAGAAAGGTCATCTCAGGTATTGTGCTARTAATACTTTATTTCCTAGGTGTGTGTGTCTGGGATTGGCACCACAAACAGCCTGGCCTGGGAGTCACAGCAAGAGCTAAAACACATCAGAGCTGAGTCTGATTGCAGAAATCCTGACTTTTGGAGTTGTTTTTAGAGTCTGATCTGTTAACTCAAAGCATCAGAGCGGGCCGGAGTAGGGGAGCTAAACTTCTCCAGGGATTAATATTAAGCCTTTGTTTAACAGTAAACAGCTGATGAAATCCACCTTTGGCTCTGAGTGCCAGCTGTCAGGGCAGTACATCCAGGCCACCTCACAAGGRCAGGATAACCTTTGGCAGAGAGCAGCAGGGAGTGCCCAGCTCTGTGAGTGTCCAAGTGTCCACAGGTCACTTGGTTTCTCTGGTTTTCTGTAATCCACTTGCCCCAGCAGCTTCCTCMCAGAGGGGCTGCTGCTTTGGCAAAAGGCAGACAGCCCTACTCCAGCAAGGTTAGACAGCTCCTCTTCAGCCAAGCAGCTGGGGAGAGCAGAGCCCTCAGGAGCAGCAGGGCAAAGGTGCTCAGGCCAGAAGGAGATGGAGCCAGATCCTCACACATGGGCACTGCAGCCTCTAAMCAAGCTGCCCTGCCTGAGGCCAGTCTGTTTTATAGCTGTTCTGCTCACTGCAGAGCCGTGCCAGCCCTGCTGCTGGCAGGCTGCATGCTCTGCCACATCCTCCTTCCCACCTCCTCCTTTGCCAAGGCAGCCTTTACTCCACCGTGTCTGATCGAAGGCCCGGCGCCTGTTCAACTTTTGTTCCCCATTAGGAAAGAGTGAGSATTGTCAGGACCTTTTTGGCTCTGCCAAGGCCCTATTATGTCCCAAATGTTTCCATGAAAAGACTCCCTCCTGACCACCCTGCTCCCTGACAGCCATTCAATCCAGCCAACAAAYTTGATATCATTATCTACAAAAGGAGGCCAGCAAGCACCAGAGTCCTCACAGCCAAGTTTGGGAAATCAAAGGCAAAATCTCCCAGCAACAGAGAACTGGTGGAGATCAGACTGCACCAAGGCTAGTGCAGGCTGGTCTGGCAGTTTGCAGCCACTCGTTTTCCAAGCACATAAGAAACGTGCTCGGCGTGGTGCCAGCACTTTGTCGGGGCTGGGGCTGTGCTGTGAGCTGGCAGCCCCTCACAGAGTGCCCTGGGGAGCCCAGCACAGGCTGGAGGCCACTGGAGCAGTCCTAAGTTTGGACAGCCTTGCTCTTTCCATCAGTGGCATTTTTAGGAGATTACCCACTTAGGCTGAAGAGAAACACTGATGGTTTTGGTCAGAGCAGGATTCACTCCAGTGATCACCTGGGACTTTCCTTCTAATGACTCTGGTTTAYGTCCTCAAAATGGCATGTGGCTGCCTTGTCACTTTTGGTTTGACATAGTGTTCATCTGCTTTGCTCCCTGTCCAAAGACCTTCTTTCCCAACTGTCTTAAAATAGCTTTTCAGCAGTGAAAACACTTTCCATAGTGGAGGCATCAGTAGAGGTGATTGGGAAAGGTGACTGTCAGAAGCACTGAGCACGGAAAGGACTTGAGGAGGGATGGCATAGTCCTGTGGTGCAATTGTGTTAGGAAATAGAGGAGTAAAACTGTTTTCAGAGCATTTTATCTCACAAAATGCATCTCTGGTCTGCTCGATGTTCCTGATAGAGACATAAAAAATAGATGAGAAATGATGATGCAGAGGGAGAAAGGTGAAGGGAGCTGACATAGCTGAAGCTTGGGTGGTGATGGGATGGTGATGTGGGTGATGATGTTGCCTGGACTCACCTGTCTCTGCAGCAGRGTGCTTTGCAGGCCCTGGCAGATTGCAGGGCAGTGTCACCAAAGCCTAGAGCAGCCCCTGGGTCCCTGTGGGTCTGCAGCGGTTATGAATGCATAGGAGGGCAGAATTGTGTGTAATGTGGAATGGTTAATTGTGGCACTTTCCACTCCTACCCCAGTTTGATCCTGACAACACTGGCTACATCAGCACTGAGAAGTTTCGCTCCCTTCTCCAGAGACACGGCTCGGAGCTGGACCCCCACAAGCTGGAGGTCCTGCTAGCCCTGGCAGACAGCAACTCTGAGGGGAGGATCTGCTACCAGGACTTCGTCAACCTGGTGAGTGCTCTGGCTGGCAGGGCCTGTCAGTCCTTAGCTCTGCTTGAAACGTTGCCTGTTGAGGGACAGTGTCTCTCTCTCTCTTTCCCTCCCTCTTGTCAATACCAGTGTTTGCTGTGTCCCTGCACCACATTGTGTCTGGACTTGCTGAAGCATTCAGRGGTGACTGAATGATCCAGCAAGAGTCAATTTGCTTCTGATTTTTTCCAAGGAAACAAATTTGCGTGGGAGCTGTAGTAAGATCATGAAGCAATGGCTGTTGCTAGTTTTTAGAGGTTTTTGCTCTCAATATCAGTTGCTAGCTGCCATAAGAAGCCATTTGYTTGCAAGCAGAGGTCTGTCAGTCTAGATGTCTCCTGCTTTATCTAGAGATTTCACCACTTCCAGACAAAAATATATAGATAGTGTTGTGTTGACATGCTGGAGTCGTATTGCACTGCTGTAGGCATCAACAGCACAGGAATAAAGTGTTTCTAGGTCACGTTCATTTATCCCAGGTGAGGTGTCTCAGAGTGCATGAGTCATGAGCTGGATGCCTCTCTATCTCTACTAATGAGTCAATTAGTGAAGGGATTGCTCTGTTTCTTGTCAAGGCAGTTTGTTGAGTCAACACAATTATAGACATGTGTTGTCAGATGCCCAGGATGGTTTAGAAATGTTGTTTGCAAGATATCTTGGACAGTGGCCATTCAGGGGCTTTGCCTTGTTCTTGCTGTGTCATTACACACCTGAATCTCAGCAGATTCAGTGCAATATTAAGATAAGCCTGGGTGACAAAGTCAAAGAGCAATGGAAGCTGGTGACATCTCTGAGGTTTCTCTGGAAAGCTGCATGTATCCTTGATGCAGAGTATAGTCATTTGCATCTCTGTGTGTTCCTGCAGACAACGTGGGGATTTGATCCCTCCCTTTGTCATGGTCACTCATGCACGTGTTCTTGGTTTAGAAACAAAGTGTCTTCCGTGTGTCCTGCTTTCACATTTATCAGACAAGTATAACAACATGGCCCAACTGTCAAGGACCTAGGTCATGACCTCCATCAGTCTGTAGGCAATGTCAAGGTGAAGTTACTGTGATGGAATGACACAAATGTGCTGTATCTAGCCAGGCTGTCTTGTTAGCCYCTTGCCTGTGTCTAGGTACACGGTAAAATAACTGCAGCAACTCTTAAACAGATCGCAMAGTGTGAGTTTTTCCTCAGCTGCAGCATAACAAACAGTGTGGTCCTCAGTGCTCATCAGAGTATTTATAGTAACAGCTGCTTGTTCCACAGTTGGGGATATTCAAAGTACCATGCAAGCATTCACTAATTGGGCTGCAGCACACTTAGGTAGCAGGAAGAGGTATCATCGAATTTCTTTTACGGAAATGATGGCCCGGGGCCAGGCAACACATTGGCAGCAGGCTCAGGAATAGAACGAGGCATTTTCCTCTCTCCTCGCTCCATGGGGCTCGGGAGCAGCATAGGCTAATGAGAGTAGGTGGGAGGTGAAATGCTTGGACATTCCCCTCCTTTGGGAATAGGAGATTGTGCCAGCTCACACCCACCTGATGTGATTTCTGCAAAACGGCAAATTTCCTTCACTACTATTGAATGACTCCTGTAAAGARGCCATTGATTTTCTTGTCATCAGCCCCCCATCCTTGTCTGCATTTTTTGCACTTTCTAATCAATAGACAATGCAAATGCCAGAACATTAAACTACTTACAAATGACATCTCTCTTCTCACTTCTCCTGTAGTTTCTATTGATTTCCAACATCCAAACTTCTTTTAGTGCTCCTTCTCTTTTTCCTGCCTTTTGAACTTTCTTTTGAACTTCCTAATGGAAAGAAACAGCACAGTTGATACAGAAATACTGTGAAATTAGGGATTTCCTTCACTTCATAACTGTTAATCCTCKGTGTGGTAGTGTTGAAGTGCATAAACATACATGTTTATGCGTGATGATCATTAGCCCTCTCTGCTTTATGCTCAGGTTAATTTGTTTCAGTAGCTTAGCAAGAATCTGCCTGCTGCCAAAAATAATAGTGCAGGGTGTGAGGCTGGAAAGGCTGACCTTTTACTAAAACAGAGGTTTTACAAGCATGGCTCTCTGTATGTATGGTTTTCCTTTTCTCCAGCATCAAGATAAKCACCAAGGACTCTTCTTGCTCTCAAACACTGTGATTTCTAGCTAAAGTACTACTACTGATCAAAGCTGTGTTACCCTCTGATGTCCAAAATGTTTTGTGAACTTCYAGATGCACCAAAAATGTAATTATAGGACTTCTCACTTTAATAACGACGTCCGTACATATGCCTGTTCTCAATTCAGCAAGGCAACTTAAATTTATGAAATTGAAAGTTTTACGATATGWGAATAGACCTCAGAAATCAGTCAGGAAATAAATTGAGTAATGAATAAATTCAGGGAAGATGAAAACTCCTGATGTGATCTGCAAACAAAAAAGGCTGAAAAAAAATCAGATAGGCAACTCACTGGAAATTACTTCTCTGTGTGTATGAAATTCATCTCACGCAGTTGTAAAACACAATGCTGCAATCATATCTGTTTCTGTTTCTGCACTGTGGCTTGAAATAAGGCAGAAGACAATTTCAGATGGGGTTTCTTATGCTGTGTCTGAGACAGTGCAGAGTGACAGAAGTGTTTGCTGTACAAGTGGAGACATCTTGTGCATCTCTGCTGTCTGGTTGCTTTGCAGCATCACAAAAAGAGATGCACAGTGAAAATTCTGGCTATAAACAGCATRGGCCACAGGAGGAGATAATGAACSAAGGTGTTTAACTAACTTTGCTGCTTTTAGSGAAGAGACRAGCCAGGAGGTAATTATACTTGAGATGTTATTTGCTGGGATTCTTGCTGAACAGCAGTTGCTGCTGGCAGTCCTGGATTACCTCACACAATATCCTGTGAACTCTAATAGAGCTTGCAGTAAGTAGTAAACTCTGAGACAAAGTTCATGTGACTTGGGAAGAACAAAACACTGCTGCTTCCAACAGAAATGTTTCACTGCAGCTTTGTAGTAGCTTAATGCTGATGTAGCATCTCAGTAATGAATAAAATATATCAGCCAATGAAATGCACATCCTTTGCTTTTCAGATCAAGAATTACCACCTGCTTTGCTTTCCCTGGCCTTGCTGGCTTCTAGGGACAGGCCAATTCTATCTYATTTTCAATGAACAACACATTTTTGAAGCACTTGTGACAATAATTGGTCACCCTAATCCATACATTTCTGGTCCCAGCACACTTTACTCTTCAGGGAAGGATTTCTTTCCTTGTTTGTGATTCCCTTTCTGGCTTGCTCAGTGTGCTGCCAGACTGCAAATCCTGCCTGTTTAAGTAAAGAAATAAAACTGGAGAGACAGGCTGAGAAATCTGCAGCCTGTGCACTTCCCCCTCAGGAGTGCCAGATACACAGGTCTGTTGGCCACCAGAGAAGGTGAGAGGAAGATTTTTGCAGGAGTTTCTTACTTCATGCAAGAGGCTGGAACATGATTAGGTGTTAATGGAAGGTGTCTTGTGCTATGTGTTGTTGAGAAGGATGTTCAAAGGAACAGTTAGTGTGCCAAAATATTGCTGGAGTCTTAAAAATAAGATGAAAAAGTAGATGAAGTACCTACCCAGAGTTGTTCCCAGTCTCTGTGCCAGTGGATGCTGTAGAAATAGAAACGTTAAGATTTAGATGCCAACTCTTCTGTCCTGGATCTCTGTATGTGTTGGAAGACAGAGTGGGATGGCTGAAGGGATAAAATACTTTGCGATTGTGTTACAGTCCACTCACAAAAACAAGTCCAAAGTGGATCCTGGAATATTGTAAGTGGGAAATAAGCTGGTTAAATGGAAAGTTTGAATTGCATTTTACAGCTTCATGAGTCTRTAGGAACTTACTGTATGTCTCATCCTAGAGGAAAAATATAGAAAAACARTGTATTCCACTCTGGTTTTAACACTTGCCTGGACTTGTAGGTGTAATGCGGGATAGAAAGATACGTTAAGATGCACTCCATTCAAGGATTGGTTGCAAGTAGCAGCAGAAGAGAGAACTTTCTTCTAAGTAAACTGGCAAATATTCATTATGTCAGCTGAAGTGGAACTTAGCGTAGAAATTCCCATCCCCAACCTCAACTGTTTTCCATCATATACAGTTGAAACTTGAGGAGTGCAGTATCAATTTAAATGGTTGTTTTAATTGTGTGCATATCTTAAATATATGCATGAGTAAGAAATGTTAAAAAATTGCTTCGGAAAATTGAATCTGGATTCATTTAATTTGTGGAATCCTTCCCAGCATCAGTGAAAAATGGAACAGGTATTGGGGTGTTGAAGATACCAATTTGCTGTGTTTTGACACAATTTTAATTGAACCACAATTTTAGTCTTGTCCTGCAAGCAATGTTCTTRCAAGTAACCTTGAAATTTGAAAGTGCTTTACATTTTCTATTGGAAGTGCTGAAAGGCAGCACATTTAATAGGAGTCAGGCAAAACCTTGAGCAGGGATAATTTATTTTGTCTCTCCTTCCTCTTTCTTTGAYTCCCCAGAGTAAACCACTGCTTGGTCAGACCAAATCAGAATGTTGGCATTTGGGGTTTTTTCCCTTTGATACTGTTTGAGAAAGCACTACCAGGTTGGCTCAGAGGATGTGAACATCTGTGACAGATGAACTTGATGCTGAGATATGCATTTTGGGAAAAGCTGTCTCTACCCACATTAGCATTTTGTAGAAGTGTGGGCAGAGGGAAGGAAATAAATGTGAATCTTGAAAGCAAAATTGATTGGAGAGRTTGCATTTGTAAGTAAAGTGGGTTATAAAACTGGAGTTGGCAGAGGTTTTTAAAAAGCTTGTGCTAACTTCTGATTTAGTGTTCTGTGTCTTGGAGGATCAGAGCTAGAGAGCTGAATGCATTGCCTGTCACASAGCTCTGTGTTTAAAAATAGCTCGAGCCCAGTCTCAAAGATGCCAATACCTAATGGGCAGAAATCCAGGTTTTTCAAAACCTGAGCGAGGCTGAATAGAACCATAAAAAGGGTACTGTGCCCCACACAAGCCATGAAACTGGAGATGGGGAAATACTGCATGACTTGGCTATTGATTATCTGAGGTAGCCACAGTAGTATAGATCACCAATGAACACAGAGAAATTGGTCTGCCACTGGGAATGGACAACTTCCCTTGCAAGCTGCAGATYATCCCAGCTTTGTTCTAGAGTGCCATGCATGCTAAACAAAAGCAAGGTTTGAACTTCATCAAACTTTGTCGCTGTCCTTCACTAGACATTAAGGACTCATCCTAAATGTTGACCTTTTCMGTGTTGAAGACAGGGTTTTTTTGCAGAGGAGTCAAAGCCAGCCTTTGAGCAGAGCTGTAGAACCAAACCTTGGCTGKCTTTGTTAAAATTAGGGCAGAGGTGGTGGTGCTGGGTACCGTCAGCTCAGCTTGGCTGTTTTGCAGAGTAAATTTCTGTCTCTCTGCTTAAGAACATTTTGCAGGCATGAAGGAGACTAAGGGAATTGTTCCCCACTGCTTCTTTCTCTCTCCACACACTATTTGCTGTACCCATCTGCTTGCAGCTTTAATATCAAGCTCATTAAAGAAGTCCCAGATCGATTGCATGAAGAGAAGTGGGATGGGCTGTCCTGAGCTTCTGGAGCCATAATAATGTTCAGGCCAACAATGGGCCTASTGTTCTTTCAGCTGCTGATTAAATACTTGGCTCATAAATACCAATATTATGTAATTCCAAAACCAAGTCAGCAAATTGTGACCATATGCAAGACTCTGTTTGGGAAGATTTGAGTCTTCCAAAGTCAGTCTGAGGAACAAAATAGACTTCCCATCAAGAGCTGGTGAGAGCAGCAATAGTGATATAATCCTCTGTCTCTCCTCATGCCTATCTCCTCCTAGCTTGACCCAAAGGCCTGTAGGTTTATGTAAGGAGGGCCAGGACTGCTGTGCTTGCTCGAGCCCAGGCAGTCAGCTGTGCTGTCCCTTTGGAGATCAYCTCCTTGGTGCCATGGGCAATGAGTGCAGGTGGGGACCAGCAGGATGCCTCCTTCCTGAGAGGCTTCATTTTAACAGTACATCCATACATCCACATCTTGTTGGATTGTGGGGGGGTTTTCAGCATGTCAGAAAAGAGAGAACAAAGGAGAAATACCAAAATTGAGAGAGATATTACAGAAAAACATCTTGCTAAAACAGCTCAAAGAGAATGACAACAACAAATTTTTCCCTAGTTAAAAAAAAAAAGTAAGAACACCAATTGCCTGTCATTGTTCCTCTGTGTTGGAGGGACAGGCTGCAAATGAAGGCTAAGGAGGRATGGACAGAGTGGGTGCAGTGCTTTCACCTCAGATGGCCCCTTGCCTTCCTGCAGTGATTAACAGGAGGTGGCTCCCTGCCGTGATTACTGTGTTTAAGCAGCTTGGTCCAGCTTGGAGCAATTCCCTGTCTGCCTGGGCACTGAGCACAAGCTCTGGGCTTCGCTGGCTTTGGGATAYCAGCTGAAACCAGCATTGTCCAAGACAACTGGAAGCCAACASTGYYGAGTGTTCATCTCAACAGTGGAGRGTGGAGGTGMTGGTGGTTTGAGAGCAGTTAGCAGWTCTCCCAGGAGRAYGATTCCATCATGCTTGCTTTGCTGCCTGTCACAGTAAAAGGTCCCTGCAGCAGCCTGTGTACACAGGGAGCCTCTGGAGCTTCCTGCCAAGGATTCAGCCAGTACAGACAGTRGCTCTAATGCAGCAGTTTTGTTTGACATCAGGGCTAATTAACAATTATCCAAATCTTGGAGCAAGCTCTTTCAGACCTGGTTCTCCCGCCCCCAGCAGGCTAAGCATAAAATTCCATCTGCCTRATTTGCAAATGCAATTGCTTTAATTATGCATCCAAACTGGGAAAGTGTATACTCAAAAAGATAGACAGCTAAATCTATGTGTGTAAGGTGATAATGCATACACAAATTAGCTGTAAGCCTGTGCCATCTCAGAACCTGCCCCCTCTGAGGATGACTTATAAAAGAAGCCTTGTAAAGACTTGCAAGCTTACAGGAGCTAAGACAGCCTGTACAGCCGATTAATTTGTTGTTTGTTGCTGTTGCTCAGGCAATTTTGTTTAACACAAAGAGATCATTTTCTTTGCCCAGAGCTAACTCCTGCCACAAGGGTTAGATGTGCTGTGAATTTACCTCCTGCTACATTCAAGAAATTTTCTGCCCTGAAAGTGCAGGAAAGTRTGATAGAGCAGGGGGAGCTGAGGGAAGGAGGACACAGGAATATGGATTGTGATAATCTGTGGTGAAGACAATGCACAGAAGGCTGGAGAATGGACCATAGAGCTCAGCCAGGTGCATCAGCAGCCTCTGCTCTGCCTTGCCAGAGTTCTGCCCTAACCTCATTTACTGGCAGACCCTTGTACTGATTTTCCTTTTACCCCAGGTTGTTCACCCTATGGGTGTCCTGAGACTTGGTTCCTAAAGCTCAACCTGGTGATGGTTGTCCTGCCTGCCTGGATCTGGTGCTGCCAAACTGGCACCGCTCTCCCTGATGGTTGTGCCAGGCCTTGCTTTGTCCTCACGGTTTTTCCTTTTCCTTTTACCCAGATGAGCAACAAAAGATCGAACAGTTTCCGCCAGGCCATCCTGCAGGGGAACAGGAGGCTGTGCAGCAAAGCCCTGCTGGAGGAGACGGGGCTGAGCCTCTCRCAGAGGCTGATCCGGCACGTGGCCTACGAGACACTGCCGCGGGAGATCGACCGCAAGTGGTACTACGACAGCTACACCTGCTGCCCCCCGCCCTGGTTCATGATCACCATCACTATTGTGGAGGTGAGTGCCCTTCAGACMTCCCTGGGAACCTCCCCACACTGCCAAAGACTCTGCTGGGACATCAGCAAGGGTTGGAGAGGACGTGTTTTAGACCTGGATATGGGCAGGTGTGAAGCTGGTGGCTGTTTTGGTTGTCTGTTGGGTTGTGTGTAAGTGGAAACTGTGGTGCTGTCATTGGAACAATTTGTAAATAAGATTACACTATTTGGGGAACTAGAGCAAAACTTTTTGAGGAATGAAAACTGAACAGTTCTAGAAAAATTGATAAGTCAATGGAAATAGAAGAGAAATTCCAATACTACCTCTGGTCTGTGAGTGGAGAGAAAAAGGAGGGGAGAGAACCTAAATGTGAGAAAAATGATTTTATATATGACTTTTTTCTCGATGATTTTCTCGATGAGCTGCAAGATACTTTTGGGTGAGAAAAGGCTTTTGCTAACCAATTAATCCCTCTGCACTTCTAGGTTGCCTTTTTTCTTTACAATGGAGTGGTCTTAGACAGATTTGTGCTGCAAGTCAGCCACCCCCTGTACCTGAAGAATGCGTTACTGTACCATCCCCAGCTCCGTGCCCAGGCCTGGAGGTACCTAACCTACATATTCATGCATGCAGGGTGAGTACTTCCAAACTGGAGATTATCCACAGTTCAGGTTCCCTAGAGAGAGAGGGGAAGTGACAGAATCAGCTCAGAAATATATTTTTGAAACTCAATTGTAAATTGTGTGTAAAATACTGAAGATGTGGAGTGTTGGGCAATGAGGCACAAAGCTTTGCAGCTCTCTGAAGGGACAAGGCAACATAAGGAACTTAACAGATGCTGCACTTCTCCCCAGCAGTGTTGGGACCACACTTTTCTCTTACTGTGCACTCCCTAAAACCAGGTCAGAGYCCAGTGTTCCACTAAAGGAGCTGTGCAGGTGGTAGAACAAGTCTGCAAAGATGCTGGACTGGTTTTTAAAAACTACAGGGTGTTTGTGCTAGACTTCTAGCTGAGGTTGGAAAAGTCAGTTAAATTCCCTGTGCTGTGACATGTCATCACTCAGTAATGTTGTCCCTTCTGTAGGGACTGAGATAATGCCTACAAGCCTGAGTCAAGCTTGAACTCGTGTTTTGTACACACTGTGCAAACACCAGTGTTCCTGAAGAGTTGACAATCTCAGCTGACCAGATGGACGGAGAATGGTCCATCTCATGCAAAATGCAAAATGAAGGTGCCCAGTAAAATGAATCCTCCTTCATCCCATGGGAGGTATGTAGCAGACTTGGAAGAGTAAACAAGGAGTGGGGTTTCTAACTTTGTTCTTCTCAGCTGTGCTAGTCCTCACAAAACTCAAACAGACTTAATTGTGTGATGTTTGTGATGCCATGGTGATGAGTAAGTGTCACTGGAAAGTTCATAACTGTTCAAAACACTCTACCCCCTCTGAGCAGTTTTCAGATCATTATCTTCACACATTCCTGGCAGATAATTGCAATTTTCTTTAATTCTGTCATTGAAAAATGACAGCAACAAGCCTTTTAGCARTAGGGTAGAGTATGAAACTGCATAAGGACCCTTTGTTCTTAAATAGAAAGCCTGTATTTCCGTCAGTCAGTGTTCCTTCTATGAAAGGCCAGAAAGATCAAGTTGATCTTTTCCTTTTTCCATGTCTCTGTTGGAAGACATGTTGATGTCTCTTCCCTGCCATGGAATAACTTCCTTGGTGTATAATTACCCTGGAGCACAAGATGTGCCCCAGATCTCTGGGTAAAAACAGACTCCACCCAAAGGAAGAGTAGGAAAAAAAATTTAAAAGAAACTTCAGAATGTGGCAACATCTGTACTGTGCATGCTGAATCCTTCCAAAGAGCCCATTTTATATAGGTTTAATTCTGCAAGTGGGGACTACTGGTCTTAGACATGAGGCTGGTTATGTAAAATGAGAAGTGGAAATTTCCATCACTCAGGATATGGGCTTGTAAAAGGAAGAAACACTTAACTAATGTTAGTTAGTTAGTTAGTTAGTTAATGGTAGTTAATTTCTGTTTGGGCTTTCTTTTGATGGTGGTGGTGGTGTTTTGCTATCTTGCTTCTGAAACTACAGATGCTTTAGGATACATTGGAGAAGAAACACTGCACAAGGACAATTTTCCAGCATTTAAATGCCTTCCTGTGGCAGGCTTTCCTAACCTGTACCAGGTCACCCTTGTAGCAGGCAGCTCTCTGGCATTTTTCCCACTTACTGAAAACCTCTCAGCCATCCAGAGGTGTTTATTTCGCCTCTGGCTGGCTCAGAGTGGAACAATGGAAGGTGGTGAGCAGGGGAYTCATTGTCGTGATGGATTCCAAGTCCTTTAGCTACAAGGCCTTTAAAACAATGGAGAGTCCCACTGGAACAATAAACCCTGTGATTTATCTGCAGTAGCTGGAGTTAARCTAAATGTTCCTTTATTTCTAACTTCTCTGTGTTAAGCTCCTTTTTTTTTGTGGGGAAAACAGATAAATCTTGGAAAGGTAATAATGTTTTTTAGTGGACGCCCATCATTCTCCTCTCATTTTCAGACCAGAGGATAACACAATGCCATGGGTCTATTGTCATCCTGCTTCCAGCTGAGACTTTTAAATGCTAATGTGGACTGCTCCTTAATTTAGTGCACTSGGTCTTTTTTGGAAGAGCAAGTGGCAGCCGGAAGGTGTTTGAGAAGGCAGCAGTTGCTAGGCTTGGCTGGCTGTGCCTCTAGAAAGATTCCAAAAATGTACAGGCTGTGTGTTGCTCCTGATGGAGGGAGCTTTGTCAAGGGCTGAAAAGGCAAAGTTGTAAATTCTGCCCTTCTGTTTTCATGGAAAGYGGACGTTGATATCTGAAGCCCACACATTTGTATCACTGCCATAACTAATGMCTTGCATTGATGCTCAGTCCCATTTGTTTGGTCCCAGGGAAAGAGAAAGTCTTTAATAAATCAATGAAATTGTCATTTCAAGAATGACACATTCAGCACTGGCAAAGGGTAATTATATTTTATGGGTTCTTATTGACTGTGGAGCCTTCAAAGCTCTTAGCATGATGGGGAAGAGAAGTGAATGGGATTGCTCCTGGGAAGTCTTTTAAGAACAGCTGTGAATCAGAGCAGTCACTTCAGAGTCCAGGATAAACTTTGCTGAGCTCTTACAAAAGCTTCCTTTGAAAAATTAGACTCAGTGCTTTGTGTGGAAATGTCAGGTGCCACCTCATGATGTTGACTGTGTGCCAGCCAAAGCTTCTTCCCTCCCCTCTGTGAAAGGGCACTTGGATGTTTTGACTCGTCTCTGTGATCTCAGTTTGACCTTTGCTGGTTGTTCCTAATTTAATTCCCTACATTTGGTGAGCATGCGGGATCAGAACGAGTGCTGACCATGCCCAGTGGCTTCAAAAGGCTTGAGGAAGGTAATAAAAGAACTCAGTTACATGCAGCAGCTTCCCATGACTAGAAATTGGAGTGCTGAGTGTATTGTGCAGGAGGGAAATTTATCTTTGGAGAGAAATTCAATGGAAACAAACTTACTAAGATATCAGCAGAGGACTATTTGCTGCAGTATCATTTCTAGCACTTTATTCCAGTCCAACTTTAAATTCTCATTTATGAGACTGTTCTGTCATTACTGCATCTCACCATCAGTGTTTTTCTCTGCTGTATATGGGAAATTGCTATGGTAACTTGAAAAAGATCAAAMCAGTGGAAATGCATACAACTTAAACCAAAGTTTGCTGCTGCGTGCCTGCGAGCAACCCTTTTCTTATACAAAATGGGATGKATATTTTCAAGGCATTAGGTACTTTGCTCTCTTTCCCCCAAAAGATTCTGTATTAAGGGTTCTACTGTGTCATTTTGTAACCAAGCTCGGACAATCTTCATAYAAGAAACAAGATACCCTTGGCTCCMGGGGGATGTCACCATTCAGTGAGGTCACAGCCCCAYGAGCCCATGGTAAATCTCAGACACTGGCAGAGCATTGAGGACCCTGTTCAGGGCCTGGTGCTGTTGTTACCTCACTGGAAGATCCYGCAGATGGCAAAGACAAGGATAAATATCTGTATAGAGTTGTGGAGTGGCAGGACAGTTTTGTTGAGTAGTATTGATTAAAGCAACAGAGAAATTGCTTTGAAACTGTTGTTTCAGCTCAGGCAAGATCTGCTGCACAGGAGTCTTTACCCAATATGCACATCTGAGCTGTCAACTCTGCCTGCAGGCTGCAAGTGGTCCTGYGCAGTGTGAGTGGGGTTTTCTGCASGAGKTCCCTCAGCCCWMCTMTTCYCTKTGTGTTCAASAGGAGTTTTGCTATTGAYTRTAATGGGAACAAGGRTGGATGAAGAGAGAGCTTCASTGAGCACACCTGGGCACCTGAGCAGAGATCAAAATGCTCTGTGCTTCCCATTCTGAGCACTGAAGTAGGCACAGCAGAAAAGGGTGAGGGTCAGACAGCCCACGCTGTACAGCAGCATTGTGGCACCAGGAAATAGCAGCTCTCTTGAAACTTCTACTCACCTCATTCTTGACTTAATAACTTAACAACCATTCCCCACCATGGCAGTGTGATGTGTGCAGGAGAGTTTGAATCATTAGGAGGGAGAAGAGAGGAGCAGGTCAAATTTCTGATTTCTATTCCAGGCTTTGCTGCCATCTTGCTGCTTTTTTTTTGACAAGACATTTAACTTCTTCAAACAAAGAAAAAAGAAAAAATTGTCTGACTAAGAACCAAACATTGTATGAGGTCTTTGGCTGAAAGGATCTGGATGGATACAAAAAAAGATAAAAGCAGCAAGAAGGGAAGAAACATTACAGTTCTAGGTCTGATTTTTTTCTGGAATCACTGTTTTTTCCAGCATTAGTCTACTCATGTGAAGCAGGTGCTAYTTGACTTTCTTTCCAAGATATCTCTGTCTCAGTGGTAGAGAAGAGAGTTGAAGAGTTGGAAAAGAGGACAACTGTTGTTTTTCCTTGCTGCAGGATAGAACACCTTGGGCTCAATGTTGTCCTTCAGCTCTTGGTTGGGGTTCCCCTGGAAATGGTGCACGGAGCTGCGAGGATCAGTTTTGTGTACGTTGCAGGAGTTGTGGCAGGTAGGTGACACCTCTGCATGCCCCAGGTGGAGAAGCAGTGAAAATGGTCTGTGCTGACTTTTGTGTAGGAGAAATGTTTTGGGGATATTTGGGATTAGGTGAGGAGCATTCACTGATCTTCTGTGCCTTGAACTTCTTTTGGGGGCTGGAAATAAGAAATATGGTTCTCCTTGACACCTATTTCTGTGTAGCCATAGGTTCTGTGTTTAGGTGACCTGCTAAAAAGGCACCAACTACTTGTCACTTTAAAATAGCCTTGTTTTAGATGGTTTTTCTGAATGTGGAGKCATGCTGGTCCTGTGCCAGTTCTTCCTCCATTTGTCCTGCCTGTCACCTTTCTACAGCCTAAGCAAGCAAGAAGTATTTGGTGGTAGATTGTGAGCAGTGCACAGAAATCTGGAAAATTCATTTAGTCATGAAGCCAAGGGGTCTGATTGATTTTTAGTTTGTGCTGAATTGCTTTTATTTATGTTTGGAATTTCCAGCAGTTTGGAGGTGATGGAGGTAGCTGACAATAGATCAACATCTAATTAAAACAGGAGGAGAGTATAAGAACAACCAGGAGCTTTACAGGGGAACTCAGACAGCGACTGACTGCCTTAGTTCAAGATTTATAGTGTTTGTTTGGTTTTTACCAGCCACATAATTATGTTTTTTTCCATAATAAGCAGATAAACCCTTTGCAAAATGGGCTGCATTGGGTACTAATAAATCCTACATTCCAGGAGAGAGACTGTGGGAAGAATGACACAGGACTAGGCATGGTATAAATACCAACACTCTTTAATGCAGAGAAAGGAGTYAGCAGAGCAGCTCCACTGTCCTCTGACTGTTACTTTAACAAACACTAACCAAAGTGGTGCCCAATTTGCAGCTTTCCAGACATAGCTTTCATACACAAATACACCTACCAAAACCCAGGGATTCACTGATATGTTAGCCAGATATGAAATATCCTTTATTCTTTGACATGTGCCAGGAGACAGAGAAATAGGTATATTCATGAGGATCTGGMAACATTAAGATAACTCAGCTTCTAAATAATCAGGAATAGACAATAAAATGTAGTTAGGCCACAACTTCTATGGTTCTTTCTCATTTAGCTGGCTTTACTAAGAAGAAACATTTGAGACTGGAAATTGAGGCATTCAGTGCAGTGTCTGAAGACCTAACTGCAAGTTCTCATTATTTCTTCCTTCATTTCTCATTAACGTTTTCTTTAATGGCAGTGTTTAAGAGCTGAGAAGTCTCAGGGCCATACAAGGAAGAAGGGAGCTATCAGCTGGTGGAATCTCAGCACTTTCTTGGCCTGGAATCAGCTGGGCAATTAGCAAGGAAGTTCATTAGATTCTGTGCTATGAGGAYTCTATCAAGATTTCCCGATGTGTCTTTTTCCCATTCCCACTCATCACAAAGATCTTCATTATCCCTTCCTTGTGACACCAAATCTGCCTTTGTCTCTATCACTGAAATTCTTAAAGTTGGCAATGAAAGGAGCTTTGAGCAGATCCAAGGCTCCAACTGGGATAAGAAGAAGCAATGTCTGTGTTTGGCTGTATTGTTATTAGTGCTGCCTTTATGTACTTGACCTGTTATTTTGCTGTCATRTGCCCACTGCTCCATCCAGGTTATTTTTAACTGGTTTTACTCTGAAGTTTTACCAGTAACAGGCTGTGCTTTGATCAGAGGTCTGTGCTAAGTTACAAGTTCCTTCTCCCTGTGCAAATATTTTTCTTGCCAACATGGGAGCTACTTCTATTTTATCTTCAGGTGAGAAACAAAACACAAACATTTGTCTGTCTCCTGGTTCCTCGCTCTTTCAATCAGGGAACTAATGCCTTTTTGCAGCACAAGTTTAAAGACACATTGCTGCTTTGCCTGGCTGCTTTTAAAGCAAGTGCAGAGGAATCAATCAGTCACTGCCTTGACAGGTCTGAGTTGGCTTCATGARTCAATCGATTCCCCCCTCCTTCTCTTTCTGTATTCCTGACCTGCAGCAATTAGCACAAACAGGCTGCAGCAGGGCTGTAGGGTAGGAGAGAGTGTTTATTTGGCTGGCAATTGTCACAAAGCCTTGTTGTTCCCCCAGGATCCCTGGCAGTGTCAGTGGCTGACATGAGGGCGCCGGTGGTGGGTTCCTCTGGAGGTGTGTACGCTCTCGTCTCTGCTCACYTGGCCAATATTGTGATGGTGAGTACCAGAGTGACTGCCTGACCTCTCGGAATGAGCCATGTCTGCTGGCCCAAAGGGGCTGGGAGTAAGTCCTGACCTGGCTGCTGGTCATTCAGAGCTTGCCTCACTTGAGCCTTGTCTCAGTGGTGTGGTCCTGGAATGGAAATATTGCCCTGCAGTTGGTGGCTTGGTACCCTGATGACTTGCAGTTTGCCAGGACAAGCTAAAGATGCTGGTAATCCAAGATTTGTCAGTGTTCTCCAGGCTATCAGCTCTCCATACAATGGCTGACAAATGTTTGAGAAGCTRACTTGCTCTGCCGAAGTGGCAGATCTGTTTCTGTCTGCATGTGCAATGTARTTTTAGTGGGTATCTAAGGAAATTTAGTATTTGGTGGATTTGTGTGCAGAGCATCCCTTATCTCCATTTGTAAAACCCAGACTGAAGCTGAACCCTGGGTGATCTAGTGATGCATCCTTTTGCTGTTTCACCTAATAAAATACTTCACAAAGGTCAGTAAATGCSAGCTTTGTCATTTCTCTAAGGCTGGAAACATGAGCTCATCCCCAGCCCTTAGCTAGGTGGTGGCAAAGCCCAGCACATTTGCCCGAGGACGTTACACTGAGGAAAAAAGGCTTTGCTGATAGAAAATTCACATGTGGTGGCATGTTTGTCCTGTACCAGCAATATCAGAGCAGAGTAAGTGTGAAAATGAGGATAATGCTCCTCCCCTGGGTCTGAGTGGGAAGATACTGTGGGTTGGCTGCAGTAGAGACAGAAGATCTGTTATATGGGTGCTGGAAGACGTGTGTGTGGTGGTGTTGGAGTCAAGCTGAAAGAAAACCTTGTACCTAATGCCTGTCTGGAGTCAGCAGACTCCAGCTGCGACCCACAGTGGTGCTGCTCCAGACAGCTTTGTAACAGCTGGGAGCTGGGAAGTGAGAGATTTCATGAGCAGAATTGGTCTCCTTCATTCTCTTCAAGCTTTTCAGAGCATGAATGAGCTGGGGCTGTTGTCCAAATTAGAGAGTTGAGTGGCTGGCAGAGAGGCAGGCAGTGGAGGAGAGGGGCTACCCCTACACCACCGAGTTTCTGCTGGAGAATTTAATCCTTTTTTACAGTTATTTTCAGTGTGATTTGTGTTCCCTGCCACTGTGCCAAGAGAAGCAAGAGGGAGCTTCCTCTGTCTCACAGGGTGGTAACACAGGCACAGGGTTTTTTAACACCACGATTCACAGGGTTAGGGAAATGTTGAAGGAAATGTTGCTTTGCTTTAGAGGAAGAGGCTCTGCCARAGGTATGTGGAGAGTCTTCACCAGTTACCTTCCCAGACTTCTTAAAATATCACWGTGGTCTGTCACTTCACTACTCATTGGCCTCTTCCAAATCTATTTAGCAATTKCTACCTTAACATCTTTATTTCTGCATTACCCACTGCCTCTCTTCTCATCTCAAATTACTTTTGCTGCCTTTCCARTTCTGGTGGAGGGATTATTTTTGCTTTTCTTTCCTCCCTTATCTCCCTGTCCTCACTTGTTATCTGGATCTGATGCTCCTGCACGCTGAAAGGCGCGCTTTGCTGGCAAAGCTCAGCCTGGCACAGCTGGGGAGAGCWGGGACTGTGGCAGCGAGGGGCTCTGTAATCTTCTGTTCCCTCCTGGTAACCAAAGGAAATGGAAACATTCCTGCTTGGAAAAATAAATATTATTGGAATTAAATACATRAAATAACCAACAGGGGGAAGCAATAAAGCGTGTCACCCCAAGGAAAAGAGTGAGGGGAGGGATTCAAAGCAGCTACATGGAAATGAAAAGTGAAGGAGGGAGCACAGATTTAATCATCATGAGCTCAGAGCTTTCTGACTGGGTTAGGTCTCGCTGTGAAGAGAGAAAATGAGTTACTTATTTTGTAGATGATGCATTTTTGCCATCCCAAGTGCCTTTAAAGATAGTCTGAGGAGTTTACAAGCATTCTTTTTATTTCTTCAGTGTGACAAATAGGGAGCTTTTCACAAGAAACCTGATTATCTTGGTATCTCAGGCTGCCTTCAATGGGAAAATTTTCATTTAGTCAATGAATGATAAATAATAGTGTTGTCATACATCTTAGACCCCCAAAACATGATCTCTTTTTCTGCTTTAAAATTTTRTGCAAGTATAAAAGGGGGAATATTAATATTTCTCCCATAATTTCTGATTATCATTCAGAGATTCCATTATGTTGGGTAATGACCAAGCCTAAAGACAAAGGAGGCCAAGTCCAGATTTCTTTTGCCACTGTTTCCTGGATATGCTTTTATTGAGGTCTTTATTGTTTCTCTAAGATCTGAGCTGCAGAATTTTGGGGAGCCTGAGGCACCACAAGCAGCACTGGAAAWGCACAGCAGGCCTTGAATGCGCTGAGAAGTTGCCTGACAAGTGACAGATCTAAATGTAATATCCCTTCAGGTCTGTGTGCAGCATTACTTTGTTTTCCTTGTCTCTTTTCCAGAACTGGTCAGGAATGAAGTGCCAATTCAAACTGCTGCGCATGGCTGTTGCCTTGATCTGTAGTAAGTACCATCCAACGCTTGGCACACGTGCAGCCAGTCCTGTTTTGTTTGTCCTTGTCATAATAGTTCATGCTGATTCAGAGGGTTTTGACTTTGCAGCAGTTTTGGTAGGAACTTGCAGCTGGACCTTCTGGCAGCRGGAACCACATTGCTCTCACTGCAGATTTTGGCTTTCAACACAAGCATTTGTAAACAAGGATTTGTCATTAGCCAGCATTTGTAGCTCGTGGTGTTTATAAAGGAGTGGGACTTAAGCATCTTCTCTTTGCAGTCTCAAACCAGCAATGCTGTCTTAATGATAATACTGAAGTTTCCTAGAACAATTCCTATATGGGATGGCAGCAGCACTGTACACACATTGATGAATTACCTTCCAGCCATATCCCCAGGGGGACACAGTAGGGGAAACTAAGGCGTGTGCTCATCACAGACAGCTCACTTCAAATGCTAACTTATTTCTGTTATGGTTTTGGTATAAATTTCAGAAGGTGAATATTCCCTGACCTATCTACACTCCCACAAACCCAGACAACTTTCCAGCCACTGGAGAGACCTCATGGCTGTGTGCCACAGCCCTGTGCTCACCATACRAGGCAATTCTCCCTCTCTGTCTCCTCAGGGATGCAGTGCTAACTGTGAGATGGACTTAAGAAGGGATAAACCTAGACAATTAATTAATTTTCTCATCTTTGTTCCAGTGAGCTTTGAATTTGGAAGAGCCGTGTGGCTGCGGTTCCACCCCTCCGCTTACCCCCCGTGCCCCCACCCCAGCTTCATGGCTCAYCTGGGAGGGGTGATGGTTGGAATCACCCTTGGGGTCATCATCCTGAGGAACTATGAGCAGAGACTCCAAGATCAGACTTTATGGTGGATCTTCCTTTCTATTTACATCATTTTTGTCTTGTTTGCCATCTTCTGGAACATTTTTGCCTACAGTCTGTTGGATCTAAAGCTACCTCCCCCTCCTTGAAAACATGGGACAGAAAATGGAGAGTGGAAGTCATCTGTCAGCTGTGTTATATGAATGAAGATGGAGCATCTATTTTTGTATTTAACTTAGGAGAGGATGATTCTTCTGAACACACAAGTGTGCTGGAGGAGGTGCTTAAAGATCTCATGAAAGAATGGGCTGATCAGTTTGTTCCCAAATCCAGCAGCTTCTGTAACTCTGGCTGGCCATGCCYTGCAGTTTCTGCCCTGCACCTTGGCACTGACTGCTTGGGTTGTTAGCACACATCAATATTTTGTATGAGATATTTGTATTTTCCAGGTCAGTGCTGGAATTATGGCCAATTGTTGAGTGAATTTCCTCAATGTTACGAACACTAAAAGGGAAAAAGAGCAGACATTTACTAATTAGAGACTCACATGGTACTCACAAGGCAGCTTGAGTCTGGTTTCTTTGGACACATCTGACTGTTCAGCCATACCAGTGCCCCTGTCTAATTACTTGAATGGTTCCTAAGATATTTTAGCCTATRGTGAAACTTGTCTTGCACAACTTTCAAAGGAATCAGCAGAACTTGATCACACCAAGTGATGGAGACTGGTCTACAACTACAGGTCAAATGAAATTGCACTATAAACATTGGGAATCTTTAAGAGTGTTGTGGACACCCAGCCAGAGGTGACTTCTACTGTGCATATTTCACTTGATTTTGATTAATATTCCCTCCCTCTCCAGCCTACTGTGGCTAGAGGGTATGGTTGAGTTGGTGGTTTTTTGTTGTTTTGGTTTGGTTTGGGTTTTTTTTTGAGGGATGAAGAAAAGGAGGGCAAATGTTCATTTGTGGTTTTATCAGATGACAATCAGGTGCTGTTTTCTTCTCACTTTTTTCTGGCTACACTGACCTAACACCCAGCCTGCAGTGAGCTCCTAGCAAGGATCTCAACTCTTCCAGCAGGTTCTTACTGGGAAAATGGGACCATGATCACCTCCAGCAACYCAAAGTGGGACCTATCCAGTCTTTACAGCCATACAGTCCTTTTGGGGCCAAGTCCACTGAAGGCAGTGGAGTTAAATCGCTTTGTATGTAGCAATGGTTTTCTCACTGAAGTGGAAAGGGTGTGATTTGCTACAGTGATCATTGTGAAATGGRTAAAACTGATTTTAAGATGACTGCTAAGTTCTGAGGGTGCCTCTTCCAGAGGCAATGGATGTTCAGGAGCTCCAAACACAGTTAGTTGCAGTGATGCCTTTTTCTTTAACGATGGTCAAGCCCAGGTTCAGGCAGTCTGGGCACAGCCCATACAGGTGCCTGCACGGACCTGGGGATCGCACAGGGACATTTGTAGCACAAACAGTGCTTCTAGGAACTCTTCTCTGTAAGGTGCTTATTTTGCTTGTCACTTTAGAGACCTGCCAAATAACAATCCTGGAATGTGGGTGCCCTCCTTTTCTCTCCCCTTTACCCACCTATTCAATGGTCTGGATAAAGCAGCCATAAGARTCTCTCCAGACAAGCTCCTCTCTTCCTTTTCTCTATTTCCTGCTGGTGCCAGGCACCAGCCACCAKAGCCTTTCACAGCACATCCTGCAGGCACCATAGCATTGTGTTTGYTCAGTAGGAAAATGTCTCTGTGTTGTGGGCTTTATTCTCTCAGCTGTTCTATCCATGCTGCCAGATGATACCACAATGTAGTAGGAGCCTGTCCTACAGGGGACAGCCACAAGTGCTCATCAGCTGCCCCCTTCTTTGCCTCTTACGGAAAAAGAAATCTGGGTTGAGGGATGAAGTTCTGCTCCCACAGGAYGCACTAGTAAAACTTCTACTGCCTCAAAAGGAGGGGGAGAAAGAAGTGTTTCAATAGCCTGGAATAAGCCTTACCTGCAAAAAAGCCCTATTTTTGCCACCTTTGTGCACTGAAATGGGATTTCTGAGGGTGACTGCACTTCTGTTCTGCAAGGCCAGTACATTGCTCATGGGCCCTCACTGAGAACCAAGAGGAAGGGATAAGGGCCAGCGCTCTGTTCATTTTGGAGAAGGGGTTGGTCCCCTGTACCATTTTACCTCTGCAGTTTGGGTCCAGATCACAGCAGTCACGAGAGTTCCCAGGGTTGTTGCAGGTGCTGGCCCAGTGAGTGCYGTAGCTGTGGATCCCCCTGGGAGCAGCAGGCTGGAAGGAAAGTGGAGCTAGGAGAGTTCTGACACGGTCAACAAGTAAGGAGGACGTTCCTCACCTACTGCTAAGCCTTTCTCATTACAGATGCCTTGAAAACAGAGGTGACCAGGAATGGAGTTCCCCTGAAGTTATAGGAAAGCTTTTAAAATTTTGGTAGAAAAATTTCAGTTGCAAAACCACCAGATTATTCTACCTATAATTTACCAGGGTGTAATATGCACCAATTGACTTTTATTTTGGTTTCTTAGCTGAAAGCTTCTTAATGCCMATGAGTTTCTCCCCAGTAAAGGTTTCTGTGCCTGCCAATGTATGCTCTGAGGTGAAGCAGCAAGAYAGAAGTTCAAGAGCCACCAGTTTCTTCATCAACTTGATCACAGCCAACATGATCGGCTCAGGAGGGGTCTGAACAGAGTCATCCTGACAGCCTTCCTTGATCCTTTTTCTCCAGATCAATGTAATTTACACAAACTGGTTGAAAACAGCTCTGAAGTTAATCTTACGACTTGTTTTTTTAAATTGTTCATCTTTCTAACTTCCATTCTGTATGCCCATACCCTGCCTGAGCAAGTCTACAAACAGCCCTGCGGATCAGAAAGACCAGACTTTAAGGCAGTGTTAGATTTATTGTAGGTGAAGGAATGAAACCCTCTCACATTCCTGCTCATCAGAGCTGAAATCTCCCCCCAGACATGGAGCAGTTTGTGCACAGAGYCTGTTGTCTGCTAAGAATCAGTCGGCACATGGAGCCAGAAGCAGCACAAAGTGCTTAAGTTTTTAATTTTTTTTTTTAATMATTAAAATTACAGTGTGAAAACTTGTTACTTTTTTTCAGAGTACAATAAATTCGAGTTATGTTATTTTCTAACATGCCCAGGAGTGCCACAAGTGCTGCAGCACAGAATTAACAGCAACCAGGCTCTTCTGTTACCTCCAGATGTCCTTGAAGCTGCTGGCTCATGTTGGAGATGYAATATTCTCCATCCTGCTCATTTGTGGTTCAACCTGTCACAGTCAGCAGCGTGCTCCTGAAGGAGCATCCACGGAGGAACTGGTTTTGGTGATTTATTGTGGTTTTAYTTCAGCTGCTGCCAGGATTTCCCATCAGTCGGATAAAACCTGAATCTACTGAACTTAGGGCTGTGCAGTGCTAGAGCAGAAGGCAAGGACTGTCACCAATGTACAGGTTTGAGGAAGGAAGGAGGAAGGAGGAAGTTATTTTATGCTCTGTCCTTGAGTGAGGACACAGCACCTGGAGGAGGAACAAAAAAAAAAAAAAAACAAAAAAACCAAAAAAAAAACAAAAAAAAAAACAACTAAGCCATTTGTGTGGTGGATTTGCCTTACAGCAGTGGTCGGTGAGGATGAGGAGCGGTGCGGCAGGCGGGGAGCCGGCGGGCCGGGATGCGGAGCTGCCAGGGACACCTGCCGGCGGCGCGGCGGCAGCACCGACCCGGCTCCGCTCCGCTCCGCTCCGCTCCGGGGACAGGCGGAGAAGTGGCTCCGACAGCCGCGGGGAGGAGCAGGAAAGAGGAGAACCAGCTAGATCAAAGTCCGCGGGGATCGCAAATGGCACAGATTTTATTCCCAGATACTTGGAGACAGGTAAAGATTAGATTTACACACACACAGCGGGAATAACCATAGGAAGGAGGAGGGAGAGAGTTGTAATGCAGTGATGGGAGAGTAGGTTACCAGGARCAATCTCTGAGTGAGGTGTAGGATAGTCAGAAAAATGCTGATTAATTTACTTTTGCTGAGTTGTTAAGACAACAGCTTGTATCACTGTTTCCCTGTCAGTTGATGAGGAATCTTAGCACTTACGTGGCATATTGTGATTTTCCACTACTTGCTCCTTTGGCAGTGGGAAGTATGTTATCAACAGGGAAGGGGAGGCTAGAGAAATTGTTACTAGAAATAAARCTCAGGGATTCTGKATCCCTACACTTTGGCTCATCCTGATGGATTATACTGCTCATGTGTTTTAGATTGGGCATGTCAGATTCAGATTGGGCCATTTCAGTTTGAATTGGGCTTTAAAGGTGGGATCTGACACGTTCAGAGCCAGTACTCCCATGACAGCTGACTGCTGACCTCAGAAGGCAGCTGCTGCTCTCTGCCAATATTTAGTCTCACAGGATCGTGGGTAGGACTTTCACACATTCTTCAGTGAGTAAAGAGCTCAAAGTCTGTTCACACAGATCCAAGCTCAGCCCAAATGCTTTGGAACCTCCATCCACTGTCTGTTGCCAAAGTGGAACTGGAGAATGTGCACACAATTCGACACCAGCCACCTCTGGGGGTGAGCTAGGACTAGAGAACCCAGGCCAGCCCCTCTGCTTATTGCTGCTTCCCTGCTCTGCTCTGCTCTGCTCTGCAGAGCTCTGTGTGGTAGAACTCAAAAGATTCCTTCTCTAACCACCGATGCCAAGAGCTGGTTATAAAAGAGTACAGTGCATTTTGCAGCTCTGTAAAAAAGAATCACATCTAAGATAGAAACCAATCTTATTTAAAGGTAAATGCATTTAAATGTCACCATTAATCATTGGTTTTTAATTGGAAAAAGCTTTCTAATGAGGTATGTCAGAAATGCCAGTAGGARTACAGAAAATTTATGTTTCAGGGTACTTTACAACACAGAGCACAAAATACTCCCTAGGACTGATTTAAGTAGCTAAAATACCTTATTTTCAGCGGGCTTGACAGACACATTGTCACTGACTCTCTCCTGACTCCCACAGTGTCTGTTTAGTTTGCAAATAAAGCCAGATTTATGCAGCTTTTCTTTCGCTTACACTACTAATGCTAACAACACATCCAAGTGTTAAACACAAAGCACTAAACTATGTAATTTTCTGCCTTAAAATACTGAACAAATGGTACTTCCCCTGTGAAGGGCTAGTAAAACAAAATGATGTTTGCAAGGTAAGATGCTATGGTATGTTTCCAAATATTTTTGTATTGTGTATGTTCTGTATATTTTTGTTGTAACAGTATTATTTGAGCGCAAAATCCATTAAATTTTTTTGTGGTGGGGTTTTTTTCGTTTTCCGTTTCATTTTTCTTCTTTTTTTTTTAATAAGATTGAGCTGTTCTGTATCACATACCAAAACAGCAACAAAGAAAGAACTTTCAAAGACAGTTTTGTAAGTTTGTCCACAGTTAGCATGGTATTTAACAGAAGAGTTCTTGGTTTGGAGTTCTGCCATGCAATCTTTTAATAATGACATTGGTAACTAACWTTTATGTCTGTTTGACAGATAAAGGGGAGAATGAACTGCAGCTTCATTTCTCCATGAGTTCTAATGAGGATGCAGAACTGGATTGGGACTTGTATGGAAATTTGGGTGTTGTCCCACCTTTTGGTCACTGTCCCTTCTGTGCTGTAGTGACYTCAGAACTGCAGGGAACTTGACAGCCAAGCACATTTGAGTAATTTTTTTCATTGGGTAGGAGCATTGTGCTCTTTTAACATTAGTCTCTACCCAATGCTTTCAAATCTCAGAGTCAGTACTCATCTCGTGAATCAAGAGTGGAAACAACATAGCCAGAAAGTTCTGCAGTAAACGTCCAATGATAAAAAAAATCCTTCTACAAGTGTGGAAGGGGGAGGCTTATTCTGCAAAATAAGGTGTGTTTTTGTTGGGAAACACTGGGTTAAAGTGTCATTTCTGGAAATGAAGATGTATGTAGGAGTAGTTCWTGTCAGATGTGCTCCCCCTAAGGGAGGCAGATCACAGCTAGCGTGTGTGGGACTCAGCTCTTGCTGTCATTTCTCTGCACTGAACTGAGCTTTCTGAGACACTTAAATCTCCATTAGTTCATTTCAGCAAGAAGTTGAAGTGGGTTTTGTCAGTTTTTGTCAATTAATACAAAAAGTGTTACTGCCTACTAGCACCTTACATTCTTATTACCTGTTCTTCACATCGAACTTATTTAAGCACTGAGCTCTTTCTCAACTCCTCATCAGGCATAATACTGAATGATCAGTGCTCCAACCTTGTTAGAAATGTAAAAGAGCAACAAAGGGTGACATGTTTTATTGAGTGGTGCTGCTATACTCATGAAGGAAAACTTTTTACTTCTCCGAGCTCCTGCGAGTTAGTGAATGAGGTTTTTTTTCTTTCAGACTACTTTTACTTTCTTCTCTGATCTACCCAAATACATTATGTGTCACCTCAGCTGTTAATACCGCACTTGCAGCTCCTCTGTTTTGGCTGGTAAAGGGTTTTAAACAGGAGACATCAACGACCACCCCCATTGACAATTTACAGGCACACTGTTAAAGATTTGAATGTGTTTTATTGTCAGCCTTAYAGGTTCAACATGTTGTTGTCACAGGAAAGCAGCAACTTCTGCCACCACAGTACAGAACACTGGCAYGTCACACTCAACTGCATTAGTTACAGTCACTGTTTCAGGAGCAGTTGTTCAACAACTTCTGCTGCAAAGGGAACCAACAGGGAATTTTGCTTGTATCAGGTTTGCAGAATCACCCTCCTTTATGAGGTTATTCAGAGACTTCATTAGTTTTGATTCCAGCTATAGCCAGAGATTTCCTTCAGTTATTCTGCTGCCTACATGTCCTAYGAAATGGGTGAGAAAACACTGCTGCAATACAGTGATATGTTTTGAAGTCTGAGTAGTTAATCTGAGAATTTAATTTACTTCAAATTCCAAACATGTGGAAGCTTCTAATTTTCTTCATGATTGAAAAACATAAAATTATTTAGTTATCAAATGGGTATAAGAACATACAAAGAATGTCTTGATCACACCTCAAGACTAAGGAAGAAGGGGATTCAGCAAACAGCTTGGAATTTCAGATACCTGTTGTGTGTAGGTGTGCACACATACAGGCACATACAAACTCAAAGTGTTCAATCTTCAGGCAGCTCTGTTCATACCAATTACTGACTTGTTTATCCAGGGGCAGGAGAACAAGCCACCAGTTTGAAAGCAGAGTGCAGAAACCRGCTACAGACTTGTTACCTATGTTCTTTTACATAAACTAATATATCAATTCATTTATTATGATCTATCCAGATGTTTGTGCTTTTTTATTAAAACAAAGTAGCCAAATCTAAATAATTTTAAAGATATTTATAATATTTAAAACAGTGAAATGCTTTCCAGGTAAGGGATTTGGGTTTGGTTTTGCAATGATTGTAAAAATCAAATGTCACGATTTCCTCAGAACAGGAGGATGTCAGTTGGAGAATCTGGAAACTCTGCAGGATTTTGTATTATCTGATATTTACACAGTAAAAAAGCTCATAGTGCTTCATTTAAAAAYAAGAAAAGGCAGATGAAACTGCAACTAAGGTTTGACTTGGGCAATACTTTTAAATATAAATTAAAAATCCTRCGATAGCTGCACAGTAGAAATTAATTATTTATACGCAAGATAATTTTAAGCCACTGATGTTTCTCTCATGAATTCCTCCAGGACAGTCACTACGTTCTTGGCTTCTGGCATTTCTGCATGTTCTACTTTYACAATCTTCAGCAGGATGTCTCCACTGCCGCAGTTCTTTAGGAACAGGTAGCACTTGAACAAGGCGTAGTGGTTCATTTCAGCCTGGCGGATAAACCTCTTCAGATTGTTAATGTCCTGAATGGCCTGGGAAAAGARTAACAGAGTTTTCTTATTATTTTACATGGAAAGAAAACACACTATCGTGGAAAATAAAGATTAAGTAGCAGGAGAAGCAAAGGCATTTCCAATAGAAATTTTGTGTTACTACTCAAGAGTAAGGTAAGAATTGAATATTGTCTTTGATGCAYATTACAGCTTTTACTGTAATGATGCAAAATGTATGGACACGRCTTGATGTGTCCAGCTTGTAGCAAGAATTCTCCTATTATGGCAGCTCACTTAAGTAGTGTTAACTACTGAACCCATGATATTGGGGGTGCAAGGGCCAGGTTAACAGTATTTTAAGAAAACAACAAGAAAAAAGTGGGTCTTATTTTAAATTTGAGAGAACACCTTTGAAGCACTCACTGAAGAATCTTTTACACTACTTTACAGCTGGTGTTGTCAATTGGAGTAAGCCAGCCCTCCAAATTGTGCTTCAGAGTTAATCAGTTAATGACATATAGATACCATAAATAACTTAAAACTTTTATTCACTGCATATAGTATTTGCTCCCTCAGTAACCCCAATGTCCTCTTCAAGTCTTTGACATCTATGAACAGGTACCTTCAATTTAAAGTTTTCCAAAATCTGCCGGAAAAGAAATGGATTTCCACCTTCAGTGCCATTCACAAAAGCCTGCATCCAGTCCTCACAGAATCTGTTGCTTCCTGTTAAATGTTCAGAACACGGAGAAGAGGTGAGGAAAAGCAAATGAGCTCAACATAGATATACAGCTGCATTCACCTGGTTTCATCACTCTCACATAACAACTCATAGCAATATATCTGGGCCAGGAAATAACTCTTAAGGAAAAACAGTACACGTGGAAAAGAGAAACAAACACAGCTACAGTGTTTACACAAGGCTGTGTTCTGATTRTTGAACCTCCTTTTTCAACATTTTTCAAAATCACAACAGGAAAAGAAAGTTTAGCAGATTCCCTGAATTATAGAAGTCATACTTTCATTGTCCACAAACTACATGTATTAAGAAGTAAACTACATGTATTAAGGAGTTTATTACTAAATATTTTCATCCCAGAGTACCAGGGTGTCTCGTGTAACAAAGTTCTCTGGTGCCTCAGAGGAAAACAAGTGTTCTTGTTTCCAGCCAGAACCCAAACTTTCTGGGCAGAAGCCTATGAGCTTCTGCATGTCCTCAAYTGCCTCTAATGTCACAGCTCTCAGCAGCAGATGGATCCAAGGGAACGTGAAGTGTTCACATCTGTAATCTCACCTGCRTTATGCAGCTGGGGCTGAGGTCCACTACAGTCTATAACCATGGAYTTGTGCTGCTCCTCTGTCATGGCGATACACAGGGAGGTCATTGTGCCTTCCTGGACAAGTCCTTGGAGACTGGCAGCTGCCAGGAACCTGACACAGAAAGCTCTTGTCAGCTGCTGCTCCTTTTCAACTCCTGGACATCAAGAGGATTGTCATACACAGAAGCCAAGTTACTCACAGGTTCCTTGGTCTCAAAGTATCTTTACCTGCTGATGTCCTTTTCTGTTCTTTCATCTGCATTTTTGACTTCTACAGGAGTGTAACTCAGAGCCTTAAACAAAAACCAAACAAATTTAAAAAAAAACCAAACCAAAAAGGAATAAATAAATAAAATTAATAAGTTGGATGCAAGTTCAGTATTACTTTTGTTGCTATACTGCAGTTCTGAGAATAAATGCATATTGTGGTACTTTAAAAATTGTTTTTGTCAAGGCAGTATTCCATATTGTAGTCATTGCAGCTGGTTTTGTGCCCAGAAGAAATTCAGCAGCTATACTGTTAGCTATTCCATCCAAAGCCTCCTCAAACTCAGGGATTTTCTGTTTCCAGTGAATTACATAATGCACATACACAATATAACACTCTCATTCAGAGGAATTATAGCAGGGACAGCCTGGTCATGCTATTTCTAATTTTCTTATTCTAATTTCAGCATGGACACTACTAGGTAATGTTTTTCAAAAATTGATAGAAGAAAGCATTATATGGTTCCTTAGCAATAAGCAGGGAAAAAAAGAAGAAAAAATTTGTTTTGCATTTCCTCCTGTTGGGAAAGCAAATGCAAAAAACATTTTAACCATGCTGGTGTCACTGAGATGCCTCCTGGAGGTTTTTTAGCTACGCAGTTTTAAATACACTTACAGCATGTAACAGAGAGGCGAGTTTGTCCTGGAAGAGCTGCACAACCCTCTGGATAGGGCAGATGGCATCCTCAAACCAGCTCCTCAGATAAGGGCTAACACAGGTCTCCAAGTTTTTTTGCTGTAACAAGTTGAAACATTAAAATTTCAACTACAARTTAGACTTCTACACAAACAGAAGTCTAYTAATAATCTACTCAACCKAAGTATTTGGATGTCAGAGCCTTTCTRATCTCAAACCACACTGAACTAAAATAATGAGTTTGACATTTAAAGCCTYACTTTATCAGCAATGAAAGGCTTTGCACTTTAAGAAACAGCTAGAACTGTAATATGATGGTATGTATTGAATGAAGACCATGCAACAGCAGATGGGATGACAAAGAGACTTAAAATGCAAAACTTCCACTAGGAAAATGTGATAAGAAACCCACAAATGTCCTTTTGTAACATTCAGAACTGATAAGAATCGAGGTGGACATTGATAACTTCCTCRMAGACCATTACCCTTCTCTCCAAACMTAACMGTGAATAATCTTTGAGAGATTTATGACTGACATAAGGAAGTCCCCCCTTTTTTTCCTTTTGACTTGTATGGCTGATAGCATCTTAGATGCTCATCGTACTACAACGAATCAAGAATTTCTCCCAGTGTTTCATACCGGTACTCAAAATGCCTATTTTATCTATAAATAAGCTCTTACAGATTGTTTTAGCAATTAGTCTGCATAAATACCAATTTTCACCACTTAAAAAAAAAAGTTAGGCTTTACCTCCAAATCAAGGTTTATCTTCAGATTTTGRATGTATTTGTCCAGCTCAAGTCTGAAAGTATCTTCTTAAGGAAAATAAGATGCACCAATTAAGACCTGAATTTTTTCCTTTCAGTATATGGCCGTTACTGACATTTTCAGTTACTGGAATGTGTACACAAATGTGCTCATTTTAAGTAGAAACAGACACAATGACACGRTAATTTTTACATCATCTCTCTCTCCACACAGGTAAAGAAAGTTAAAGGTAAGGATATAGTTCCAGACCTTTCTCTGAGCCACCTAAGAAACAAACCACATATTCTGGAGCATTGATGTCTGATTCCAATGTTGCCATTTCCAGAAGACTTTCTTGTTGGAAGCGACAGTAGTAACAACCCACTTTACCTTCTGGTATGCTATGAAAAAAACAAAGAAGGAAAAAAATTATTTTGTTCCAGATACATTATGATAAATAAATGCAAAAAGCAGACATACATGATTTCTTTAACCATTGGCACTGGTGGCTCCTRTGGCCATATGTAGAGCTCTTAGACCTTCTCTTTTTTCTTCTGTRTGATCAGAGTAGTTTAAAAGGAAATAATCATAAATATAGTATTTTTAAAGCATTCAAACAGTAAATTATTTACAATATTTTTCTCAAAGTTACCTAAAAAAGTAAAGTGCCATTGTGTAAGGTCTTATTAACAGCAGTAATAGCCTGAGAACATGCAATCAAAATTAACCCTAAGTGCAGCAGCAGGTAGGCAAGATGTGCAGTGCTGCCAATGTTCCTTACAGTTCTCATTCACCATAATTTCAAAAATTTACCTCAGCTCAACTGATGCTACATTTCCCATTCCTTCAAATAGGGCTCCTTTAGTAAGACGCTTAGCGATGAAACTGCGCAATTCTGTCTCCGCTTCAGCCGGTAAGTTGGTGTCCAGCAAGGAGAGGCTTTAAAAACCAGAAGAAATCATTACCAAAAATAAATGTTATTGTTTTGTGTCTCTCAACACATGCAGGACTATCTGCATTTAACAGGGGAGCCATTGCAATCTCCCTCTGGTGACAGCTAAGGCAGTTCTGTGATTTTTGGCTCATCATGAGCAGTCAGTGGTTTGCCCACTCACCAGGAGTGTCAGCTCATACTGATTTTCCCAGCAGCTACAGACAAGACACTGCCTTTTTTGTTCCTATGTTTCTCCAACTGTAATACAGAGCTTATGGAAAGATACTGAAAAGTAATAAATTTTTGTCACATGTTATGCACGTGAAGAACTGTGTCAATATAGCAACATCAAGTATCAGTAGCAAAGAAAATAGAGTTCAAACTCAAGGATGACAGTTTATGTTTAATACATTATTTGAGCTCTGTATACGTGTTTATTCCCCAGGTATTCCAGAAGTGCCCAGGGGACTCCAGAATGTGTTTGCATGTGTTWTGAAGGGACTGCAGAGCACCTAACAATGATCTGACAGCAATATGGCAAAGACTTCAAACCGGGGTGCTCCCGTGGYTGTGCTGTTTTGCAGATCGGCTTTACCTGAAGTCTTCGGTGGAGGGTGTGTGTGCCACGGCGCCGCCAGCACTGCCATCCCCGCCGGCAGCTCCCTGCTGCGCGGAC